GCCTTAGATAGGAAGTGGCAACTCCTCAGACATAATGCTGCATATTATTCCACTGTAAAGTAGTCCCATTGGTCTGTTGGTAGAAGCTGGCAGTGAGAATTGTCTGGAATCCAAGACAATTGGCAGAAGAAAGTGGAGGGAATCAAATTTTCCCAGCTGAGGGAAACACAGAACACAAACCCAAGGAACTGGTGTGAGCAGCACACGGTAATGTCCGTGGTGATGGAGCTCCAGCAGTGCCTTTCCTCCCAGAGAGCTGTGAGATGTCACTGAGGCAGTGCCCCTTTGACACAGGTTGATTTTGTCAGACCTACTTTATAAGAAACTGATATGGACAAAGGGGAAATTACTGGTCCATAAAAAGAGTAATGAAGAAGGAATAGTATTGTAACCTCCAACCCCTGACTCCAAAACTACTGGGCTCTTAGATCCTGTGTGGCAGTGGAGGATCCTGCTGACTTTCACAATTCAGTCACTAATTATATCATCCAGTAGAAATGGTGTATTAAGATCCACCATTAACATATCTCTTCTGTTGGCTTTATGCATATTTTCTCTAAACAAGCAAAATCCAAAACTACTTGTAAATGTTCCTAGTAACGCTTCAGTTGTTTGTAGTAAGACTGGAAGTAAAAAAAAAAAGGTGTCAGAAGTTTTGACTTTAGCTTCCAGGCAATAGACAGTAGAGATGTCAGAGCCTGCACAACCTTGCAGTGTCAGGAATACTCACAGTCACTAAAAGACAGAAAAACTAAACACCATTAGATAGCAAAAATAAATTTTAAAAAGACATAAAACACCTAAGAACTTGTGTGAAACGGGACGTTTTTGAGGTTCTGGCCCCCGACCTTCCTGGGGTCTGAGTGAAAAAAAAATCTTACCAGTTAATCTTAGCAGGTTTCAGTGGTGGGCCTGACTTGACTGGAGGGAGGATGGAACTGCAAGTAAAACAGAAGTCTGGGTTCAGTGGGTTACACTGACAGGATGGCTCAGCTGCTTTCAGTACAGAAACCAAGATTTATTTGTGTGGCTTAAGTGGGATATTGTTTGCTTGGGTTTGGGTTTTGGTTTTTTTCAAAAGTAAATTCTGCTTGCCACTGTGATCACTCTGGCTCTGAGCATTTCCCTTCCTTGGCAGGAAACACCAGTCTGTCATGACCTGAAAGTTTCTTATCTTCTCTTGACATGCTTGAGAATTCACAGGCTTCTATCATACCATCCCTTCCACTCCTGAACACGATGGCATGTGGCAGCTCACGTGCTGTGAGAACAAGCCCAGTGTAAAATCAGCATTAATAAATACTCACTTTACACCTAATGCCAAAATAATGGCTTATCATGATCTCCTGTTGGAGAACTGCTGCTCAGGGCCTCTCTCCCTTGTTTGTGGAGGTTGAAACTTTTTCAGATCAGGTTATAAAGGAACTTGCTTATGTGCTTTCCTTGGAAAGAGATGTGCTTCCACATAATTAATTAAAAGTGGTTTCATACAGGCATAGCTCAGCAAAAAAATTGGTTTTTTTCTTGAGGAATGAAGTTGCATCAGGATGTGTCCAAATCATTTCTTTAACAGCCAAAGTATGTGTTTTACCATCTGCATTTTTCAAATAGGGAAAAACAAACATAAATCAACTGTGATTAATTAAGGAAAAATACCAAAATTCTTACTCAAACATGAGGATAGTTCTGATTGTCAATAGAAGGTACTTTGTAAAAAGAACTTAAAGCTAAGGTTTAGTTATTTACCGTTTTAAAATTTTCCTTGTGACCCAATGATGTTAGAATAATAATGTAATTAAAATTAGTGTAATTACACATTTTGTTTTTTGGAAAACAAATAGCAATGTGGCTTTGAGTTCATGGATATTCAATAGGTTCTTAGGTCACAAACTATACAAAAGACCTAATGCTACAAAATTGTAACAAAACTGTGAGTTCAAAAATGCAAATAAACACAGAGGACCAAAACAATTGGCCTTTTAGTTTTTCCTTATAGAAACAAAGGTTTATTTGCCTTTTAAACAGGTCAGTAAAATAAAATTGTCACCCTATGGTGCGTGCAGGATAGTCACAAAGAATAAGCTACTAATAGAAGGCAGATAGTCTGTGAAAGGGTTAAATCTTTGAAATCTGCAGTGAATACAAACCTGAATCAGGGGAAATATGACTGGACAGGGCCTTGCATTTGTGAGAAGATATTGTGGGTGATCCTCCAGAATTTTTAGGAAAAATAGTTGCAGATACCTGAAAGGCCGAACCAGCAGCTCTTGCCTCCGTGCAAGCAGCAGCTCCATGGTGGCTAGAAGGTGTTATTTGGAGAAGGTCCTGCTTATGGTCAGGTTGTTCACAGGCTCTGTTTTTCTCTCAGATTACTCACAAATTAGGAGTAGGCTCTTTGCATAAGAGAACACAATCTGCTATGAAAATACATTTTAATTCAGTGTTTTAAAACAGCCATGAAAGACAGAATTATGTCCAAAGGACAAAGACCTTGAACCATTTTCAGACTGTTGGCCACAATGCCTTGGTGCCACATCTCTAAGAACAAGAAAGAGCCAACCACTTTCTAGGTGGTTCCCAGCACAGGGCAGAGGAACAGGGGAGAGGAACTGTCCACACTGGAACCTGCCACTGTCAGTCCCTTCAGTGCTGCACCTCTTCTCTACTGACTCTGTGGGATGTAGGAACCAGCATTCCTACTAAGAGCTAATCTGTATTCCCCATTAACATCCTAGGCCTGGATAACATGCTGGGCTTTTGGGGCTCCCATGTGACTTTTTTCAGATGCAGTGTCCATACAAAGCTGGGTGATTTCAGTTGAGTCGCAGATCAGAAGTAATGCTGAGTCTTATACCTCATACCTGAGAAGAAATAATAGGTGAACCCAGGATTGTCTGAAATACTCTGGGTTTTTAGGATCAGGAGATCTTTGAGAATGTTTTGTTTGCATTGCAAGAATATTTCCTGGAATACTTGATTTTTTCTGCAGTACAGAATCTACATAAAAATCTACATAAACTAGGCCATTAATAAATATGTAAAAGAAGCCTGATCTGTGAGGTACAGGCTCAGTGTATGTGAGGACACTGAGCTCCACTAGTTCCACTCCATTGATTATTCACATGGAATTAGAGGGTTTACAGACCATTGAAATGATTTGGAGACTGCCAGACTTTCTAATGTAATCTTTATTTTTTCCTTTTTCCACCTGTAAGTTAGTGCCTTTTATTTGTTACTTCAGCAGATAATTTTTATGGTAGCTTTTCAACTTTATATCCTGCTGGTATATAGTTTAACAAAATACCTTTTTAACAGTGTATTTAATTCCTCAGTCATCCCTCTGGGAATAAATTCTTACTGTATTATAGCTTCTTTTATATATATATATTTTTTTTTTTACTCTGGTGAACTTCTGCAAACTTTTCTTTCAGAAATCACCCCTTCTGATTTCCTTTCTGCTTCTCATGTGCACCTCTTTTGTGTCTGCACCAGCTGTAATTTGCTGCTGATATCCACAGCTGGTCATGTCCTCTTACAGTATCTTAAACACTTAAAGAAATTCCTTAATAGCATTTTTATTTTTACATCTGGACCTCCAGGAAGCAAATCAAATTTTCACACCTGACTGCTGCTTTGAGGTGTTATCCATGATGTTGTCAGTGAGCTGATATTGTGGAGAATCCTGTTTAAAATTACTTTAACAGTCTTTAGTGATTCTAAGTGGTAGCATTTATGGTGGGAAATGTTTCATGATGGTACTCACAGAAGTAACCATGCTGTATATGTGTGTGGAGAAGTCAGGTCTTCCTTACTGGTAATTACTTGCCCTTGCTTTTTGCAAAGTTAAATATGCAGCATTTTGGCAAAAGTGTTTAATGGGGCTAGTTGAAAATTGTTGTTAAATCCAGTTCTTTGCAAGCAAAACCGTAACAATTGAGTGAACATTTTTGTGGGAGACTTATTTTCATTACAAGTAGGACTGGCTCTTCTCAGTCCAGCAGTGGTTTGATTAGAAGTGCTGCTGTGCCACAGTGTGTTCAGCTGTGCAGTGTTTGCTACGAGCCAGAGTCCCAGCCCCTCACAGATCAGGCTCCCTCACTGTGTCTGATGCACAATCCCTCCATGGAAAGGTCACAAGAAGTTTGCACTTTTCTTACGGAGCTGAACAACAAAGAAAATCTTTTTTCCTGCAACTCCAATGAAACTGGCTATGTTTATAGATTGAAATACTTTTGGTTTTGTCCCAAATGGTCGTTGTTCAATCTCAGTAAAGGATGGGAAATAATGAAGTGTGTGAAAAAAACACCTTTGTCTGCTTTTGGATTATTTTCTGGTACAAAATTACTTCCTCAGGACAGCAGAATGGTTAATTACTAAAAGTCTCCAGGTTAAGGGATACCAACTTTTGTTCCACGAAGCAACAATATGTACTGCTTATTTGTGAGGTCATGTAATAAGCCACAGACTTTCCAAACTGCTTCTAAAAGGTTTTAACACTCAGATAAGAAGTCACTATAATTTCTCACTGAAAAAGACCACACAGAGATTTCAGAGTTGTGGACTATAAGGGAATAAAACATCCAGAGTTCTTTGAATCAGATCTGAATCAAAGTTGGATACACATTAATGTTTTGACTTTTAGGCAGACCTGACATTTGTTATGTAGCTGCTAACAGAGCTCTCCAGGTGCTGTCAAGGGAGGGAAGGTATTTTACAGACAGGCAATGTAATCCTGTGTTAGTTTTTAGAGAATATGCAGAGATGGATTATAATCAGAAGTCACAACCAAAAATGCATTCAGGCCAGTTTAATCGTTACAAAGTCAGTATAATTTACTGCTACACTGAAATTAGTATATATTATCTCGTTAATTCATTCCATCTGCTGCATCATACAGAGCAATATCAGGAATGATTAAAAGGCTTACCTCAAATATACTCTGAAAGTTTGATTGCCTTCAGTGCTTTTCAGCTTTTCACACCCTTGTCTGTCTTTCTTAGTCTGTTCACAGTTTTCCAGAGGAGTTTATGCCATCTTTGGATTCTATGACCAGATGTCAATGAACACACTGACGTCATTTTGTGGAGCCCTTCACACATCCTTCATCACACCCAGCTTCCCAACAGATGCAGATGTGCAGTTTGTCATCCAGATGCGGCCGGCGTTAAAAGGAGCCATCTTGAGTCTCTTGACGTATTATAAGTGGGAAAAGTTTGTGTACCTCTATGACACAGAGCGGGGTAAGCACCATCATTTTAACTGATTTTTATATTTCATAGCTTGCTCTAAGTATTACCAGAACCAGCACATGCAGCACAGTTTTCTTCTGGATGTAGGTAGCACATCCTGGTGGTCCTAGAAAGAAGAAACTAAAGTGAATGCATAAATGAAAAGAAGGTATCCTCATATTGCTGATCATTTTTTAGGAGATTTTCTGGAGGATATTGTTAACAGTGCAAGCATTCAATTTGGCATACCTGGTTTCCATGGAACTACAGACTCAGCACTTACCAGGGGTTTTGAGTCCTTGCAAAACAAATAAAGTCAACACTATGAAGTTGGCTGTTAGGCAAGACCTTCCACTCTGTGTGACATTGCAAATCCTGCACCACTTTACTTAAATGCACATTTCTGCTGTCACTGGACAAAGGCAGTCCATGCTCAGATACGCTCTGGAGATGTCTAGGCATCAATAAAGTCTAAGAATAGAGAGCATAAGATGCTTTAGGGCTCGGCTGGAGAAAAGATGCTCCAGATATATCACATGGATATCCAGAGACAAATTTAGATACGTGACAAGAATGACCAGAGTTATGTTTTACTAAATGGAAACATAATAAAACCAGTGTTTCCACACTTAAACCAATTATTAACTGCTAAGAAGCACAAAATGTAGCAAATACTGTCAAAAAGAGATCTAGACAACAGAAACCATTTCCTGTGAGGAATCTTGCATGTTTCTGTGGAGCAGCTATTGCCACCTGCTCTGAGCGTACAGAATTTGCTCCGTTACAGATTTCACCTGGGTAGCATTTTTTGTGTCAAATAGATGTGCTTTAGAAAGAACTTCAGCAGTTGTCCAAGATCATACCCAATAAGAAATCTGGCACTTCAGACTGGAAAAATTAATCCAAAACAGTGAGAGTTTCACTAGAACTTGCCTAGATGACATGACTATCAGACTGAGATATTTTTCTATAGGAGAGAGAGGCAGGGCAATTAAGTACTGAAAAATGGACATTATAGTTCTTTGTTTGAGGAGTGGTAATCATGGTTGACAGCACCTGAAACACGTGGCAGTTCCAGTAAGCTCCCTAATTTCTTGTGATAGACCTTCAAATACCAAAAAACATCCCAAGACTTTGGACAGTAATAGTGGGGAATGACTCCTTGGGTCAGGTAGTGAACAGACTGTACGTGTTCCTTTGCAGAGATACCACTGGAAATGCCAAGACTAGAGCTGTAACAATTTTTAATAATTCCTGTCTTGGATACTTAACTGCTTTGGGCCACAAACACTGCCGAGAGAAGGTGTTAAGCAGTTTACTGACAGTTCCTGAAATAAACTTGCATTTAAATACTACCTTTCTAAGATTATAATCTCACTGAGAATCTGAGAAATCACTAAATATTAGACTACTCTTTCTTATGTTGAATATTAGTTATGCACTAAATTGTTCTTGCAAGTAGTTTTACAGTGTTCTGCTGAAGCAAAACACTGCCATGTATTAAACATTGCATTTTCTATTAATAAGCACCATAGCATATTACAGAGGCCATACAAAACTGAGTAAGCCCTGTGGTTATAATGAACTCTTTTGGTTTAAGCTTAGGAGGATGGAGCTTTATAAAATTGCTTTCTTTAAGCAGTAGTCTTTTTGTTCCTTGCCATCAAATCATATAATCATATGGTTTCCCCTTTGGTGACATTGGGTACAATACTGTCATGTTTGGCTCCTGCAATGAAGAGAAAAGATAAATCTCAAACAATAGAATAAAGTTAAGATGTACAATTACATAGATAGGTGGTGAAGCTTTTAATCCACTGATTTTGTGTGTGCATTGTACATATTTATATTCTTAAGTATAAAATAATATTTTATTTTCCGTTGCTATGAGATGACTGAATGTTGCAGATTGTGCTCTCAAATATGTATTTATGTGCAGGTGTAAAATTCAGTTTCTTAAAAACTTCTAAAGCACACAGAAAAAAAATAGAGTGTGAGATTCATGATTTTCACCAGCAAGAATTATGTCATATCATTGCTTATTTCAGTTACTGGGCTTATTCTGCTGTGGAGAAACAGAAATTTAAGAGAAATACCAAATTCCATGTTCTTTCCTTGTACCACAGGAAAAAAATATTTACTTTGCAGAGTAATGATGCATTAGGAAATGGCTGCTAAGGAAAGAAAGGACTTTAGCAGTGTATAGAAGAAATATTCATTTGTTCATTCCATGCCTCATGTTTAGTTCATGTGAAAGGGAAAGGCAGGGTTGGTTTCTGTTTGTATTAACTCACATCAGTAAGTTGACACTGTTGGTTGCTGTGATGTGTGCAAAGTATCTGATTAATTATATGGTGCTAACTGCCTCAGTAGGCTTCCCTGCAGTAGAACTAAGACTAATTAAGATTATGTCAGGATGAGATGAGATGAGGTTACATACAGAAAGCTATTAAGAATTTGGGTAGCACTTGTCAGGAAAGTCACCTTTTGCATCTCATGCTGAGAATTATGTTTCATCAAAAACCTCAGGTTTACTTTCACCCTTCAGGTCTGTTTCTCTTCTTGCTTTACTTTAAATCAGATATTGTTCCACTGAGGTCAGTGGACCGGAGTAACACAGGTGTGAATGTGTGGAGAGGTGAGCTTGTGGTTTTCACAGTCATCTTATTGTTGCATGAAAGTGTGAAGTACTTCTCATTTAATTATAAAAATGGTATGGGGAATTACAATACTGAAGATTTTGTTTATTTAAATTTTCATGGTGCTTCAGTTTATTTTTGCCAGAGAAACGCAACTTTGTACAGATCGTTCACTTTCCATCTGTCAATGTAACACAGGCATTTTGTCCTGAGTTACTTTGATTTGTCATACCTACTGTGCAGAAAGACACTGATTTCTGTCATGTAGATCATTTAAACCAAATCACACCAAGTGATTTCTGTGATTTGCATCAAGTCTTCATGTTCTTCCTTTGGATTGCAGGAGTCATCACAGGACATGAAAGTGCTTGGTTTGTGTAATGCCTATCAACTCTGTAGCAGGTCAGTCTTCACAGAGGTGCAGAGAGATCACAGTCTTTGTGGCACTGTAAGAAATACCTCACTAAATCTGAAGTATTTCTGTCATTTGGTTTTGGTTTAGCCTGTCAGTACGTATCTAGTGTGGCCTACAATCAAGGAAAAGAAATTTTGATAAATAAGGTTATCGTTGGCTAATGTTTTTTTTTAATTGGTTAACACTGGCTAGGTGAAGGCTGAGGCAGGGAGGTGTTAATCTAAAGCCCCGGGTTATGTGGCTAAGGAGAGGTGACAATGTCTGCTTTAAAAGCAATTACATCTTTAATCCTTACTACTACAGAAAGGCAAAAATTTGACCTGAACGTAATGGATGGGTACAGATGCAGAAGGCCTGGAAATACAGCCTCAGGAAATACAACCAGTCCTATTTCTTTTAAATACAAAACCTTCTGGTCCCCTGTTGCATAAAGTAATGCCAGGTAAAGAGCAGGGGAAAAAAAAGGTACAAATGGAAGCTTCTCAATGATCATGTGTAAGGCATCAAATTGCCTTAAAATGGGTTCAGTACAAGGCAATGAGGTCTGATTCACTGCTCCTGCTGAAGACAAAGAATAACTCTGTTTAGTTCTGCTTTTACAAAATGAGGTTAGTTATCTATTGCTATCAAAGGACAAGACACTTCTGTACTGCTTTCCCTGGAGAATGAGAGATTGGAGTTGATAAAAGAAGCGGTATGTAGAACCAGGCTCATTATAGCTTCCACGAAATTAAATTGATGGATTTTTTTTTTTTTGATAAAATAAGAGTTGCACTGAAAATTACTCATATGTAGAACATACTTTTTTTCTGCAAAACATCTGAGGTAAGATTAATTTTCATGGAATCTGAAAAGACTCTGGTTTAGTACTTGGTAGATTCCTAGAGATTTTAGAATGTTGTGTTCTCGTGGACTGTCTCTCCTGAAAACAGCAATGGAAAATGTAACCCAACACAGAATGACTGACTCCTGTTTATAAGCACCCTCCATCAGCAGAGGGGTGCAAAAGAATTCCTCCTTCCATGTAGCTGATTTGTTAAACTCTGTATTGTATTTCTGCATGTCAGGAAGTTTTATTTTCTTTATAAAGATCATTCTTCAATGAAGGGGGAAAATGAAACCAGTGAAAGCAGCTACACCAGCATTAATAAACCCTGAATTCAGCACCTGCTGATCAGTCAAATGTCAAAAGAATCAATAGCAGAGCTGTTCATTAACATGTTTATTTTTCAGAGCAGGGGAGTTATTCCACTAACTGAAGAATTGCTCTGAATCCCTTGCATAAAGAAAAAAGGATTTAATGCTGGCTTATGCTTTTCTCAGAATTAAACATGGGCTTGGTCCATTTTAAAATTACAATTCTGGTTTACTACTATGTTTATACCTGTTTAATTTTTCTCAGTTGCACCTGTAAGTTCGATGCAATGTATTTTGCTTATGCTTTCAAAAGTGTGAAAGGATTTAAAATCTTGACATTTTCTTCTGTAAAAATCAGTCTGTGGTGAAGAATAATGGAACATACAAAGCTTGTTTGGAAGCCTATAAAACACCAGAGGTGACAAAACAAGGAAGAGTTACTGCAAACCTTGATTCTTCTGAGTTTTTTTGGCTCTGTACAGGAGTGTTTTGGACAGCAGCCCAGGTTCATGGGGATGACATGCAGACAGTATCAATTGCTAGCAGTTAGGTAGCTATGTAGATGAGCTGTCTCGTTCTCCTTTCCCACTTCTTTATATAGTGGGAAATGCACAGCAGGGAATAAAATCTTGGCAAAACCTCCCGAGCTGAGGCTCAGCCTCCATGTCACAGGTCTGTACATTTGAAGAATTATGTGCCCCAGTAAATGCCATCCAGAAATTTTCTTCTAGGTCAAAAGAGAACTTGTAGCATGGCCACAGAATGTGGCATCTTTTGCATGGCTTTTCTTGAAAGGATGTGTGGTGTAGGTTCGGGTTTTC